ATAATCGAATAGGAAACCAAGGTCTGTGTATTGTGCGGCGCGAACCCAAGTCCATCAGAAGGGAACCCTGTCTTCACAGCAGTGAGTGATGTGCTGGATGGGGATCTTGGGGAACAGCCTTGGTACAGGGCCTGAGGTGCTCCTTGCTGAAGGAGTTAGGGTGCCAGTGCTAAGCTATGCGAGGCACGGCGGGGGCGGGGGAGTGCCAGATGCAAACTCCCCAATTTCACCTCTGATGTGAGCTCACAAGCCAGGCTCTTATTCTGTCCTTTTCCCAGGATTGTGAAAAGATCAATAGATGTGAATTCAGGGCTGGTTGGGCCAGGGTTGGGGCAGGGAGCAGACAGGACGTGGTCCCGAAGCCCTTCCCCAAAGGAGGACTGGCCTGCGGATCTCAGCTCATGGCCCTCTGGCTTACAGTCTTCTTTTCACAAAGGCCCTGGGCTTGATCATCTCTGCCATCCTGTTCAGCTCAGAGGGTCTTGTCTCCTTGAGCAGATGCCCTGGAGGCCGGCAGGTTAATTTTCCAGTTGGGCTTCTCCTGCTCAGCCTGGCCAGGCAGGGTTTGGGCAGAGAGTGGCAGGATCTGGCCTGGCTTTCCCTTTTCACAAGAGGCCCCCAGAGAGGCCCAGAGTCAGTGTGGTAGGCTCAGTCCTTAGACCAGACAATATTTCGCTTCCTGTGTGTGACAGGAGCCGTGGATCCTGGGCCGGCTAGGGCCCCTCAGCCATGTGTGCTACACTATAGAATACCAATGCTCTGTGCCTGTACTGAGCTAACTCAGACAGGTAAGATCCCTGTTCTCATGAAACTTCTAGTCTAACTGGGGGAGGAAACAGCGAATCTGTGGACAGCTCAGACACACCTGGACGCAGGCAAGCGTGTGCTTGTGTGGATACTGCCTGGGACCTGCCCCAGGGCAGAGAGTGTCAGAATCCTGGGTGCCCCTGGAACCCACTACCAGGGCTGGCTCAGGGCTGGCCCCATGCAGCAAACATTCGTTGAATTGCCTGGCAGGAGAGAGAAAGCATATGGAAAGTGCCCAGGGCTTCTGGTTGTCCACAGAAGCTAGCGTGTACACACAAACGTCTCATTTCGATTCAACAACATTTATTGAGGGCCCATTACGTACCAGCAGGGTCTCAAGCCCCGAGAATCTCGACATGAATAAAACCAGATCCCTGTCTCCCTGAGCTCCCAGCCCAGGGCAGAGGCAGGCACATGAGCCAATCAGGACCCCCAGTGTGCTCAGATGGGCGTGACTGTGTATGCTCTCGTTCCCACGAGGGCAGGACTGGGAAGGGAATACAGCCGGGGCCGGGGGAGTGGGGAAGACGAGGAAGGAGTCACAAATTTCTACTCAGATCCACCCAGGCAGGTAAACAGATACCCCCAGACCCACACACATATGCACACACGTATGCCTGCACATGCACACACATACACTCTCTTAGGTGTATACACTGACTACCTAAGCATGTGTAGACACAAATACTAACTGTGTAGACTCAGATGCCTCACAAGCCATCATGATTAAAGCCTGCTAGGGGTTCCCCAATCTGGGGAGGTGTGCGGGTGAGAGGATGGCTTGTGTGTTGGGAGCGGGTACTTAGGGCACCTTGGGAATCACTCCAGCTGGGCCAGGGGATTCCTGGAGGTGGGCAGAGCTGGTAGTCTAAATCTGATAAGTGAGGCTGGCTATTGGCTTGCTGTGATTGTCAGTCACCTGAGACAGCCAATCAGCTACAGACTAGGCCTGACACTCAGCTCAGTGGCCAGAAGTAGGGAATTGGATGAGGAGTTTACCTGTCAGTACTGGTGCTTCTTGAGGAGCTCGAACCAGGTAGGAGTCAGGACAGCAGGGTGGAAGAAGGGGAGTGCTAGGAGTTAGCTGTGGCACACTCACAACCCTTCCCCTTAGAAACTGCTCAATTCCCTATTTGCACTTTTTGCTATTGGGAGCTATGAAATGGAAAGTGTTTGGAGGAGCTCCTGGCACACAGTAGCCTCTCAGTGAGCAGTCATTCTGTCCCCCAAGACCGTGCCCCTGGTGTGTGCCTGTTTCAGCTGTGAGGAGGGGAACCTGGGCATCAGCCTGTAGGAGGTAGCAGAAGGTGAACCTGGGGGCACAAAGCTAGGATTCCTGCCCCCAGTGAGCACCAGCCCTCCTCCACTCCCCAGGGCCCAGCGTTGTTCATCGAGTGAGAGATGGCTCCCTCCTTCAGAGCTGCCTTCTGCCAAAACCTTGCAGGGTTTTGTGCATTCCTTCCATAAGCGATATTTCTTTGCAGTAATAATAGCTTTTGCTGCACTTTCTGCCTGCCAGGCACGGTTCTCTCCACTTCAGATAAAACTCAACAATCATACAAGGTAGGGATGTTACTTTTCGCATTTTACGGATGCAGGAGCTGAATCCCAGAGTGGTTTAGTAAAGTGTGCAAGGTCATGCAGTGAGTAGGGGGCAGATGCAGGATGACCCCAGAGTCCATTCTCTAACCATGGGGCTCTGCCACCTTTCCAGAAGGAAGATCCGATTCTTTCTCCTCCTTCCCTGCCTTCCCCTTTCTCCTTACGAATGCCCCCAGGGGGCTCTGGATAAGTCACTGAGTCTCAGCTTCCTTCTCTGGGAAGGAGAAAGTCCTCTCAGCCTGGTGACCTCAAGCAGTCGGTATCCCTGCATGGGTTTCACTGGGAGGAAATGGTGCCCCGGTGTGGCATTTGGGGGGTGGGGGCAGATACTCCAGGCTGGGCACTCTGCATCTTGTCCCTTGAAGTAGGGCCAGGACGGAGAGTCCTCTCTGAACCCCATCAGCAGACCTGCAGCTGGGCTTACAGGCCCCTGGAGTCCCCCTGGGAGGAATGGGGCTAGAGCCACTAATAAGGAGACCAGGAGAGAAACCCCTCTCCCTGGAAGGAAATTGATGCAGAGAAATTCATAAGCTGGGCATGCAATTTGCATGTAGGCCAAGGCCTTCAGAGCTTAAATACATTCCTAGGGGCTATTTATAGTCTGGGAAAAATTAGAGTTTTCTGGGTAATGGGAGTGCTACAGACTAGCTGGTCAGGGCTTTCCAGGGACTGGCAGATAATAGAGTGGAAACCATGGAGCCTTCTGGGGAAGGACTCCAACTTCTAGTGACCACACAGAGCAGACAGCCCCAAAGTGGGCTCCTGAGGTCGGGAAGGCATGTCCTGGGGGGCTCAGGGAAGAATGCCCGAATCCCATTACCTGGCATTCTAGGCTCCCAACTCCCCTTTAAATATCCCCCTCACCTTTACCTACACAAACTCCTCCCCCAGCCACCCTTAGAACATTCTCCGCTCTCACACTCCTCTGCACTCTTGTCACACTCTTCCGACCTGGACTGCCTTTACCTTACTCTTCTCTGGTAAACTGAAGGCTCCTACCCCTCAAGGCCCCTGACGTCCCCATTCCTGGTCCCCACTGCCCTGTCCCTTGCCCCCACTCTGAACCTTTCACTGGAACCAGTCGCCTACCCATAGAGGTCTGGTGTAGTGGACACCGTAGTGTGCCCATCACATTCACGCTTTGGGCCTGAGGCACCCCTCCTTTCCCAGCTTCAGGAAACAGGGGTTCCTAGCTGCGTCCCCCTCCAGAAGCTGCCCTCAGTCAGAGGGGCTGATTCATACAAAACCATGCCTCCTTCCCAGGGTAGGAGATAACCAGTTCTTGGGTGGGTGTGGGTGGGGGGGTAGAAAGGTTCCCTCTCTCCTTTTCCACTGGTTGGATGATTCTGAGGGCCATCCCAGCTTCAGAGTTTCCTGGCGGATCTGCAGAAGCCACTGTTGTAACCACACCTCTGTGCAGGTTCCCCTTCAGCCCCTGTCCCATCCTGCCTCCCTTGCCCCTCATAGGGGTCATTCTCAAGAGCTTACTAATCTCCACCTTGGAGAATGCTTTCTGGGCAAGCCAGTTTCTGACAGCTGGTGACAGAATGGCTAAGCCACCAGCCCGGGTGCCAGCAGAGAGAACCGTTCTTAGTGCCCTGACCTGGGCCGAGTTACCTAAGTTCTCCATGGGATTGCTTTATCCACAAAATGGGAATAATGCTGAGGCACTAATCTCCGGTGAGTCTTGTGAGCATTAAACGTGATGATGTACACATGCGCCTGATACTAAGAAAGCACTCAGTAGACGCTATGACTGTCTTCATTTAACTTCTCTGAGGTTCAGGTATGTGGGGATAAAGTCTTACTTTCTGTGTCATGGGGTTGTCGGTGAGAGTCAAATAATATTGAGAGGCAAAGGGTTACATTCTGTGCTGCCGGGACCTGACACAGACTCGCAAGTTCCGTGGGGGCTTTGCCCACCTTGAGCTTTAGCCAGGAAGCCTGACCCCTCCCCTGACTGGGGACAATCACTATATTAGTTTCTTATTACCACTGTGACAAACTACCATGAGTTCAGTGGCTTCGGGCAACACAGATTTCATATCCTACAGTTCTGCAGGTCAGATATGGGTCTTATCAGACTAAAGTCGAGGTCTGCAAGCTGTGGTCCTTTCTGGAGGTTCCAGGGGAGAATCCACTTCCTGCTCATTCCGGAAGTTGGCAGAATTCAGTTCCAGGGTTGTAAGACCGAGGTCTGAACGTTCTTGCTGACTCTAAAATGAGGGTTGATACTGCCTTTCACAGCCAAGGGGCTGTGTTCCACTTCCGCCATCTTCAGGGTCAGCACAGGCTGGTGGAGGACTTCCTTTGGTGTATCTCTCTCACTGGCTTTAGTCATCTTCCACTTTCAAGGACTCATGTGATTAGACTGGGTCCACCTGCGTAATCTAGAATATTCTCCCCATCTCAAGTCCTTAATCACGCAAAGGCAGAGTCCCCTTTGCCATGCAAGGTACCATATTCGCAGGTTCCAGGGATTAGGACATCGATATTTTTTGTGGGAGCTGGAGGGGATGGCATTATTCTGCTCCCATAGCCCCCCAGCGTGGGACACCGTCTGATCCAAAATTCACCTCCTCCTCTTTTAGGGAGAGATCTGTGCAGTTCCGTGTGCTGCAGGGACCTATGGCCCCAACTGCTCATCTGTCTGTAGCTGTGACAACGGTGGCAACTGCTCCCCTGTGGACGGCTCCTGCTCCTGCAAGGAAGGTGATGTGCCTTCTTGCCCAATCCCATCCCCCACAGATGTGCGCACCATCCAGGTGGGCTGCCAGCTAAGGAGTCTGGGCTGCTCCTGCCTTATCCCCCCACACGCAGGTTCAGGGAGCTTAGAGATCAGGTCCCAGCCAGGGAAACCCAGGCCAGGGAGTTCAGTAATGGAGGGGATTAGTTATAATGGTGTTGGAATAGCTGGGGGAGCACAGGAGGGAAAGTGAGCTAACCAGAGATTAGAAGTGGGGGGAAGGAGCAGCCACTATTCCTGAGTGGAGACCATGGAGCCTTCTGGGGAAGGACTCCACCTTCTAGTGACCACACAGAGCAGATAGCTCTGTGGGTGGGAGGGACAGGTGGAGGAAGTGGAGTTCTGGAGTTTGGGAGTGAGGGCCACCTGATGGCAGCTGGGGCATGGATAGAGGGGCTTTTTGACAGCGGCAGAGCAGAGGGGAGACCCAGCCACCACCACCATCAGAGAGGCCCTGCCCAAGGCCGACAAAGAGAAGGAGGGGCTTCGTGTCTCTCCTGCTCCCCAACTCCAGTCTGTGGGCCAGGTCTCCCTTGGTGAATGCAGCCCACCTGGCATCCGGCTGATGGGGAAGCCAGGGATACACACCTGCAAGGAGCAGCCCCCGTGACACAGATCAGAGGCGGGGACAGGGAGAAATGGATCTAAGACCAAACAGGCTGATGAGCACCCTGAGAGCAAAGGGCCCTAAAAGAAGCCTCCTGATTCCACCCTGGGCAGAGCTAGACCTCCCCGTCTCAGGGGTGCCCCGCCCCAGGTGGGATGGCGCACCTGCAGGGCGAGCTGTGAGATCCCGCGGGCTGACCCTAGGTCTGCTAATAACCCTGCTGAGAGCAGACTCCACGTGGAATGTGTGTTCTGACCTGGTGAGCAGAGAAACGGCCATTTCGGGGGCAAGGTACAGAGCTGGGGGAGTAGGCAGAAAGCCGTGCGGGGCCCCGACGGAGAGCTGACGGACCCTTTCCCTCCCCTCAGGGTGGCAAGGCCTGGACTGCACCCTACCATGTCCCAGCGGGATGTGGGGCATGAACTGTAACGAGAGCTGCGCCTGTGCCAACGGGGCAGCCTGCAGCCCCACAGATGGCTCCTGCTCCTGCACCGCCGGCTGGCTCGGAGACGCCTGCGAACTGCCCTGCCCGGTGAGTGCCTGCGTCCTGGCTTGCCCTTTCCCTGCAGCTGTCGGTTGTCTGGCCGCAGAGGTGTACAGGGAGGAGCCTTGGCCCAGGGGGTGGGACCCTTGGATTCCGGTCTTTCATGTGTAGAATGCCAATTGTCTGGAAGGCTTAGTGCCCTGGCCTCACTTCCCCCTTGCAGTGCTTGGTCAACGTCATTAACTGACCCGGGCACCCTGACTGGAGCCCAGGGGCAACCTCAGAATCCTTCCCAGCGCAGTGCCACAGGACAGCCCTTACCAGTCACGCAGAGTGGCCGCTCCTCGCTCATTTTATGGCCGGGGTATGAGAGGACAAAACCAAGCTCTATTCAGTGATAACCACACAGGCTTGCTCACCGATCTTAATCTAAGAGACAAATAAATTCAACCAAGCAATATGTGATATTGTTGAATGAGGCCTGTAGTCCTGGGTTCCAATGCTGACTTCGCCACATCCTAACTCTGTGACCTTGAATGTGTTCCTTCACCTCTCTGACCCTATTTCTCGTCTTTCAGTGGTGACTGTAATGGAACCATGCCATAGATCTGCTGTGAAGTTTAAGACAAATGAGTGGTAACAGGCTCTCGATACCTGAGGAGCACACGACAAATGTTGGTTGCTACCGTCTTCCCTAGAAACAAAGAGCAAATCAGTCATTCTTAACATGTGATCAGTGCATTACAGTTTGCAAAATGCATTCACATTTACAGTTTTAGTTAACAATCACCATCTATAGCCGAGCTTGACCATCGACAAGTGGGGCATGACCATCACCCTCTCCTTCCAAACCCCGTACTTCTCAACACAGCCTGAGAATTATTTGGAGTGGCCTCGTGGCCACGGGGCTCATCAGTGATAAAAAGTGCTCCCGCTCCACTCTGGCCAGTCTCTCTGTGTCCCCGTGGGGCAGCGGCTCACTTTTGTTATCAAAATCCAACAGAAGTCAGTGAAGCTCTGGGAGTCAAGGACTGATCACTTTTCTGGCCCCTTCCCTCCACAGGACGGCACATTTGGGTTGAACTGCAGCGAGCGCTGTGACTGCAGCCACGCGGATGGCTGCGATCCTGTCACAGGCCACTGCTGCTGCCTGGCCGGATGGACAGGTAACCGCCGCCCCCGCCGCGCCCCCACCCAGGGCCTGGGAAACCAGGTTCTTGGTGTTCTACTTCTTCTGACTGTTCTTTCTTTTTCTCTTTCACTTCTTCTTCTTGCTCCTTATGCATGCATGTTGCCCTTCTCTCCTCTGGGCCTCAGTGCTCCGTTCCCTGCAGTTCAAGCAAACCAATCACTGAACACCTATTACGTGCAGGCTTTGTTCTAAAGGCCAGGAACATACCGGTAAGAAATCAGACACAGGCTAACACATGGTGACTGCAGGTGCCTAATCTGTGTTCACAGAGGATATGGCAGAGAGGCGGACAGAGACCTTCTGCTTAGCCCAGCCTCACACTCCTGGTCCCTTGTATGTGTCTGTCAGCCTGTCTCCCAAACACATGGCAAATCCATCCCACTGCCACCATCCTGGTCCTCTAAGCACCATCTCTCAGCTGGCCTGGCCTTGGCCTTTTCCTTGGTCTCTGGGCCTCCCCTCTTGCTCAGCTGCATCCATTTTGCATATGGTGGCCAGTGAACTTCTCAAACCCCAGCTCCGTTCACATCAGTTCCTGCTCAGGGCGCCTCTTATAGAAAATCCAAAGTCTGTACAGTGGCCCAGGGTCCCTAGGACCTGGCCCCCCCCACCCAACCCCGCCACCTCCCTTTTGCCCCCTCCTGTCACTCACTACATAGCAGCCACTTGGGGTGACCACCTTCCTGACCCCAGGCCTTTGCATGTGCCTCTTCTCTGAATGCGTGCCCTTTTTTTTTTTTCTGCACTTGATGATGCCCTGTCCCCATTACAGCCTGGCCAAGACTACATAAGAGACCCTCTTCCTAATGCTTGTAATATCCTACACTTTTCTTTTTTTGCCATACTTACATCAGCTGTCACTGAACAGTCATTTAAGTATTTATTTAACATCTGCCTCCCCAGCTAGACCAGCAGCTCTCCGGAGGCAGGGCCTTGCTCACCCCAGTGTCTACTGCCTGCCACCCACTGAGAGACAGATGACATGGTGGTTAAGAACACCGAGTTGGAGCCAGACTGCCTGGTTTTGTGACCTTGGGCAAGCCCTTTAGCCTCTCACGGCCTGAATTCCCCATCCATAAACGGCAGATAATTACAGTCCTCGCAATTACAGGGTCATTTTGAAGTTTAAATGAGTTAATACATGGAAGTCCTAACAGGGCATGGCGCTGTGCTCAATAATTGCAGCCCGTGAATATAGGAAGTGATTAATAAATGCCGTGCCATGTGAATGCACACAGTCCCAGAGTGGTGGGCAGAGAGAGAGAGAGACACAGGCATTCCTGGCAGCGTGGGTCTTCAGATCAGCGTTGGCACCAGGTTGCCGAGCAGCCTCTGTGTCCCACCACTAGAAAGTGGGAGCAGCGGAAGGCCAGGGCCATTGCTTCCTTGGAAGCATCTCTGCCCTGGCTCGTGGCCTGCCCTGTGGTACAGAGTAAGGCCTCGCCTTAGTCACTGGCCCCCCAGACTCCTAGCTGGAGCCAAGTGGAAATCCACTTTAAGTTTTCATGGCCTTAATTTCAAGGGAACTGATAAGATTTTAATGATGGCTGGTGCTTAAAAATTCTGTCTTTGATGGACAACTTTTCAGCAAGGCCTCTGCTGTTCTCATATAAAGCTGATTTTCCCAATATGGTCCTGAAGTCATTTCAAAGGAGGGAATGATGTCCTGGGGTTTGTCATTTAAAAGGAGATCAGGGAAGGAAAAGAAGGGAACGCGGGGTGGACCCTGGACTGCTACTCTGTGAACCCTCCCCGCCCGTTCCTGCCCCAAGAAGTCTGTCCCTGTCTTCCCAGCTCCTGGCACAGTGCTCATGCCTGGGCTCAACACCGGTTTTGCTCTGCCCTAAATATGCACAGGCCTTCTCCCCTTGCCACACAAGCCACAGGCGTTGACAGGTGCCCTCATGTCTCATTCACTTTGCCCTGTACATGGCAGGTGTTCAGTAAATGTCTATTGAAGTAAATTGAAAGCAGCTGGGCTGTAACCATATATGGGTTTTTCCCCTTGAAGCGAAGGAACCTCCAAGGTGATCTACTCTAACCTTCTCGACTATAGATGAGGAAAGGGAGTTGTTCAAGATCTCAGGGCATTAGTGCCGATAGGATGGGGACACGGGATTGCATCGTAAGAAGGAGCCATCTATTCATTCAATTAGCATTTATTGACTTAAGCTATCACCAGGTCCTTAGTTGGCAACTACCACGTATCCAGCACTGCGCCAGACTCAGCAGTAAATAGCAAAATTCAATAAAAGCGATAGTCTCTAGACATCTATTATGTGCCAGACACCGTGCTGGCCATCAGAGAAGTAAAGATAACCCAGTTGGTGTCCTGTCCACCAAATAATGGTGGACCTGCACCCAATAAGGAGGGTCGGAAGTGTCAATAAGCCATGTTCCTTGCCTTCAAGTTGCTAGCAGGGGAGATAAGATTTACGTTTGAAACATTCAAATAATAGGCAGGGACAAAACTGTAAGCCACTGACTATCCAAGAGATGCTTGAATCCCTGGGCAGACATCTGGGATGGCTTCCTGGAGAAGGAAGACCCTTAGCAGCCCCTGAAGGATGGAGGCTGCTGAGTTGCTGACCTTGTGGCATGAACTTGAGGTCATGATACATGGATTCTTAGCCTAGCTTTACAACCATCAATATGGATGTGTAGCGAGTCCTGAGAAATAAAGCAGGGAGATTCCCTAGGGTAAGACCCGGAAGGATCTCTGAGGGGGATTATTATCTCTATTTAACTACTGGGAAAACAGGGTTTAGATAAGGCAACTGGTGAAGCTATTTTTTTTTTTTTTTAAGATTTTATTTATTTATTTGACAGAGATCACAAGCAGGCAGAGAGAGAGGAGGAAGCAGGCTCCCTGCTGAGCAGAGAGCCCGATGCGGGGCTCAATCCCAGGACCTTGAGATCATGACCAGAGCCAAAGGCAAAGGCTTTAACCCACTGAGCCACTGAGCCATCCTGGCACTCCTAGTGAAGCTATTTCTTTTCAGAAGCCATGCTTGGAAGACCCTCCCACAGGCCAAGGGGCGGCCCCTTTGGCCACTCCAGTAGAACCCGGGCTCTCCATGCAGGGGAAAACCCTGGACCCTTCTCCCCACGCAAGTCCCAGTGTCCTTAAGTTCCAGGGAGTTCTTAGGACATATGAAAACCTCCAACAGCCACCCCCCTTGCTGCCACCTGCCATCAGCATAATCTCCTTACAGCCATGGTTCTCAGTTCCCAAGGAAAAGGACCCCTTTGTGATGTGAAAAAACTTTTCATACACATGAGAGTAGCTGTACTTTTAAATATCCATTGATGGGGAGAACACTCGATAGCAAGGAGCTGCCACACACATGAGGGTCCCACACATGAGAGTAGCTGTACTTTTAAATATCTGTTGATGGGGAGAACACGCCATAGCAAGGAGCTGCCATGGAGTCAAGGGGGCTTTTGTGTGCGTTGGGTTTCATGAATCACGGTGGTGCCTGCAGATGGGTTTAGGAAAGAGCAGCATGCCCCAGGTGCCTTGGCCAGCCTGTAGCGAGAGCCTGGGGCCCAGATGGGGTCCGAGGTCCCTGTCAGGTGGCAGAGCTCTGCCCTAGTCCAGGGTGCCTCCCGGGAAGAGCAGAGTCACCTGGCCTGCGGTCTGATCCTGGCTTTCCTACAGAAGAATTCCTTGGTCACAGCTTCTGTGTTCCCAGAGAAGGGGAGACTTGAAGCTGTATCCAAAGCTTTGAGCAGGCTCATGGTTCTGGCTTCCCCAGGCTCCCCTTCGGTCAGTCAGCGGGGTTTGTCCCGGGTTAGCCCCTGGAGCACCCGAAACTGTCCTGCGCGAGACCTCCGTTAAGGGGTGAAGTGTGCCGGCCAGGTTCCCTCCCTCCACAAAGAGGCCTCATCTCTCAGAGAGTGGCACCAAAAAGCCCTCCCCGTGCTGCCAAATTGAGATGTTACAGGGAGGGAATGTGGGCGCTCGACTAGATGAGCGCTGCAGGGATGAGTAAAAGCCCGTAGCCCCCCCCCCCCCCCCCCCCCCCCCCCCCCCCCCCCCCCCCC